ATACCCACACACACACACACGCACACACACATATACAGAAACACACACACACACACAGAAACACACACACACACACCCACACACACACACACACACAGAGACACACACACACGCACACACACACATACAGAAACACACACACACACACACATGCACACACACAGACACATGCACACACACAGACACACACAGACACACACATGCTCGCACACACGCACACGCACACGCACACACACACATGCACGCGCACACACACACACACACACACACACACACACACACACACACACGCACACCTGTCCTGTAACCTAACCAGTCTTTAAACAGATGATTTGAGTCGTCACTTCCCTCATTATTACATCATGGTTTTTTATCACTTCATTAAAAACATATAAAAGGTGATAAAATTGATTTTTTTAAAGCAGAATGATAGAATACATGTAGAGCTGTTCTTAAAGGCACATGAATCTGGACCAATGAAAATCATCTAATTTTGTATAATATTAATATTTAATGTGTTTGAGTGTAAATGTTTGTGCAGCACGCCCATCCCCCGTTCATCATGAGCGCGGCTGTTGTCACCTAAGCTCCGGACGGTGAACTCATTTTCTATTTTTAGTTTGTTGGTTTCGTTTAGTCAAGCTGTTTAGTCCTGTTCTGTCCATCACAGAGCCTCGTCTGCTCGGATTCAGAACCCTGTGGACCACTTCAACACATTCAGTCCCAAAATGAGAGAAGAATAAGACTGACAGCAAGCTCACATGAAGCTCAGTGTGTGCAGGAAGTAAAGGGTTGAAAACAGTCACTCAGCATGCAGGCTGACCTCTGACCCCAGAGGAAAGGAATGTGGAAGCTCTTTCATCCGAACTAAAGACACTCTCAGCCAGGACACAGACTAAAGACCCGCTCAGTTCAGGACACAGATTAAAGACAGGCTCAGTTTTCCAGAGGTCCATGTGAGCTCAACTCCTGTTCCGGGGTTCATCCAATAAACTCAAGATTTGCTGTAGAGCTAGAAGAGACCTAATTGAATAAAAGTTGTTGGTTTGGTGTACAGAACCCAAAGACTATCATTGGTGTAGCTCCTCAAACACTGATGTTTGTTCATGCTTTATTTACAGCTCGAGCAGCAACGCTGTGGAGGTTTTATTTCTTTTCATGTAAAGAAGAGTTTGTCAATCAGCTGTTTATAATCACATCTGCAATACATTTTATCTGTTCATCAACAATCCCACTCTAAACACAACTGTACTTACATTTTCAACAAACTCTCAAAGCCACCTTCTGGCAACAGGAAGTTATTGATCATCAGTTACGACTCCTTTACAGTCCCCCCATCAGTCCTCAGGTTCACCATCAGTCCTCAGGGCCACCATCAGACCTCAGGGTCACCATCAGACCTCAGGGCCACTTTTAGTCCTCGCACCATCAGTCCTCAGGGTCACCATCAGTCCTCAGGGTCACCATCAGTCCTCTCACCATCAGTCCTCAGTGTCACCATCAGTCCTCTCACCATCAGACCTCAGGGTCACCATCAGTCCTCTCACCATCAGTCCTCAGTGTCACCATCAGACCTCAGGGTCACCATCAGTCCTCAGGGTCACCATCAGTCCTCAGTGTCACCATCAGACCTCAGGGTCACCATCAGTCCTCAGGGTCACCATCAGTCCTCAGAGTCACCATCAGACCTTAGGGTCACCATCAGTCCTCAGAGTCACCATCAGACCTCAGGGTCACCATCAGTCCTCAGGGTCACCATCAGTCCTCAGAGTCACCATCAGACCTTAGGGTCACCATCAGTCCTCAGAGTCACCATCAGACATCAGGTTCACCATCAGTCCTCTCACCATCAGTCCTCAGGGTCACCATCAGTCCTCAGGGTCATCATCAGTCCTCTCACCATCAGTCGTCAGGGTCACCATCAGTCCTCAGAGTCACCATCAGACCTTAGGGTCACCATCAGTCCTCAGAGTCACCATCAGTCCTCTCACCATCAGTCCTTAGGGTCATCATCAGTCCTCTCACCATCAGTCCTCAGGGTCACCATCAGTCCTCAGTGTCACCATCAGACCTCAGGGTCACCATCAGTCCTCAGTGTCACCATCAGACCTCAGGGTCACCATCAGTCCTCAGGGTCACCATCAGTCCTCAGAGTCACCATCAGACCTTAGGGTCACCATCAGTCCTCAGAGTCACCATCAGACATCAGGTTCACCATCAGTCCTCTCACCATCAGTCCTCAGGGTCACCATCAGTCCTCAGTGTCACCATCAGACCTCAGGGTCACCATCAGTCCTCAGGGTCACCATCAGTCCTCAGAGTCACCATCAGACCTTAGGGTCACCATCAGTCCTCAGAGTCACCATCAGACATCAGGTTCACCATCAGTCCTCTCACCATCAGTCCTCAGGGTCACCATCAGTCCTCAGGGTCATCATCAGTCCTCTCACCATCAGTCCTCAGGGTCACCATCAGTCGTCAGGGTCACCATCAGACATGAGGTTCACCATCAGTCCTCAGGGTCACCATCAGTCCTCAGAGTCACCATCAGACCTTAGGGTCACCATCAGTCCTCAGAGTCACCATCAGACATCAGGTTCACCATCAGTCCTCTCACCATCAGTCCTTAGGGTCATCATCAGTCCTCTCACCATCAGTCCTCAGGGTCACCATCAGTCCTCAGTGTCACCATCAGACCTCAGGGTCACCATCAGTCCTCAGGGTCACCATCAGTCCTCAGAGTCACCATCAGACCTTAGGGTCACCATAAGTCCTCAGAGTCACCATCAGACATCAGGTTCACCATCAGTCCTCAGGGTCACCATCAGTCCTCAGGGTCACCATCAGTCCTCAGGGTCACCATCAGTCCTCAGGGTCATCATCAGACATCAGGTTCTCAGTCCTCTCACCATCAGTCCTCAGGGTCACCATCAGTCGTCAGGGTCACCATCAGTCCTCAGGGTCACCATCAGTCCTCAGGGTCCTCAGGGTCACCATCAGTCCTCAGGGTCCTCAGGGTCACCATCAGTCCTCACCATCAGTCCTCAGGGTCACCATCAAAGCCGGGGGTGGAAAGTGTCAGAATAAATCTCTAAAGTTTTGCACTCCAGATAAAACATAATAATAAGACGTGAGTGTGCGTCAGCTGGTCACTCCGCTCTGTCAGGCTGAAATCTGTTTTCAGGGTCTGTTCGGTTTAGTTCTATAACTTCATGGTGTTGATTTTATTCAGTCTGTGTGTTAGCATTCTGGCTAGTGTGAGTGTGTGTGTGTGCAGGGGGGGTGTTGCGTATGATGTTGCATTGAAGCTATTTAGTGTGTGTGTGTGTGTGTAGCGGAGGGGCAGGGCAACACGGCATGGTTCAGCCCAGGAATGTGCGATGTGGGTAGGCTGTACAATAGAGCCGGGCTCCCTGAGGGTGGTCAATGGGACGGGTGTCAACCCCCTGCAGCCCCCCCGCTGTGTGATGATCACCACACAACGCAACAGCTGTCAGCTCCTCTTAACCACCGCTGTAAACACACACTCACACACACACTCACACACACACTCACACACACACATCATGTACCAACCTGTAAATACATTTGTGCAAACATTGTGGGGTTGCACACAAACCATCTAATATTTTGCAGTCACCATGTTGGTTTTCTTGAACCAGAATTTATGGTATCAGGAGAAGTGAGTGGGGCGCCCACTCCAGCTTCAGCTCCAGCTCCTCCCACTTCTCCAAATATGGTCATTTCTGGCTAGGTTTTAAAAGTTAAACAGTCTGATATTTACATGAAAAAATCTCCAAAAGGCTCCAACAGCACAAACACGGCAAAGAGGTTAAAGGTCAGGGAATTAATTCGCTGAAGTGACACCTAACAGACAACTGTAGCAACTCCTACCAGTCACTCAAAGAGGCCACGCCCCTTACCACTGTAGGAGACAGACTCTAGTGGACACTGGAGGAACTGCAGCTTTAAAGTTGGACATTTTAACATGGGGCTCTATGGGGACTGACTCACTGCAGGGGACTGACTCACTGCAGGAGACAGACTCTAGTGGACACTGGAGGAACTGCAGCTGTAAAGTTGGACATTTTAACATGGGGCTCTATGGGGACTGACTCACTGCAGGGGACTGACTCACTGCAGGAGGCAGACTCTAGTGGACACTGGAGGAACTGCAGCTTCTTGTGCTTTAGTGTCCGTGTTTACTTGAAAACTGCAGATTCCAGCATGTTTTTTTCTGTCAACTCACTGACCTTTCACACACACAGGAGACAGTTACACGTGTGTGTGTGTGTGTGTGTGTGTGTGTGTGTGTGTGTGTGTGTGTGTGTGTGTGTGTGTGTGTGTGTGTGTGTGTGTGTGTAGTGGGAGGGGGGCTGTGTGTGTGCATTCTGTCAAACATGCCCACGTGTTTACTTCTCTGCTCTCTTGGTTCACGTGACGACGCTCCTGCTCGGCTGACGTTGACGTGTCCTTGGACTTGACGCTGTGAGGTCACAGAGGTCACAGAGGTCACTCAGGGTAAATAAGAGGACACAGGTGACAGGAGAGTTCAGACTGGTGTATTCAGTGAAGTGTGTGTTGTAGAGTAAGTTGTGGAGTAAACACTGCTCCCCCTCTTGGCGGGGGGGTGGGATTCTGTGTTTTCACAAGGATTATCCAGTTTCATAACAAGTACATACATGTACATGCATTAACACACACAGGGCGGGCTTTGTGAGGCGTGCTGTCCTCTGTGGACACATGATGAATGACACATTGTGTCTTCGGGTTGTCTAACAAAAAGAAACCAGCTGTGATTAAGAATCTTTATTCACTTAACTGTTTTCAGCGTGTAACTGTTCACTTGTCTGCAGCTCCCCCTAGTGGGTGAACCTTCAAATGATTCAGCATGAATACACATTAGTACTTAGCTCCGGCCTGTCTGATGTCTGATGCATTTCTTTAAAGGATGCCGGATCCATCTTTTATTTTGTTTCTTCTCATTTTCTCTTTTGCAGGACAGTCAAAATGCAGAGCAGCGTTTCCCACTCACCGCCAACCATAGCTGTTGGGACCGGGTGAGGAGGAGAAGAGAGAGGAGGAGAGCACCGAGTTTTTACAGGTAGAAAGACCCTGGACAGCTTCATTCATTGGTTCATCCAAAACTTCAGTAAAGCATTCAAGTCATCAGACTTTAATGTGTCACTGAGGCAAACACACGTGTAACACACTGAAAATTATATCTCATATCTTCATATTTGTCCTGATGTTTTGTTGTATCAGTTTGTCAGGTTCAATTAATTTGATTTCCAGAAGTGTTTAAGTTAATTCATATTTTTATTACAAATGAAAAACAATAAATGTTACAAACAGTACCTCATTGTTTCTTATGTTCTGTCTGTAGACAACAGAAATGTGTTTTACCCATTAAGATGAAGGCGCTGGCCCTTTAAGAGCGGCTCAGTGAAGGAGACAGCGAGGTGTGTAGGCTGACAAACAAAGCTCCAGCTGAAGTATCAAAAAGTGTAGATGGACCAGTTCTGACCGGTTCAAACGCTTTACAACTTAAGTCCAGTAGTTTGAGCACTCCATTCACTTCCTCTGCCCGGTTTGATGGTCTCTGTGATGGTCTCTGTGATGGTCTCTGTGATCTCTGTGATGGTCTCTGTGATGGTCTCTTTGTAGGTCTCTGTGATGGTCTCTGTGATGGTCTCTTTGTAGGTCTCTGTGATCTCTGTGATGATCTCTGTGATCTCTGTGATGGTCTCTGTGATGGTCTCTGTGATCTCTGTGATGGTCTCTGACGTGCGGACGGGGACTCTACAGCGCGTCCTTTTTATTTTGGTTTTGGTACGGGACATCTTTGCGCCCTTTGTCTTAGAGGTGGGTGATATGAGAAAACTATCATATCACAATTTTTTTTTGCCAAAATCCGGATCACGATTTTATCACGATTCTTTTCATACTGATCTTTAGACAAATTTATATTTACTGACCAGTTCAACCAAATTTATTTCCCTGTATAATGTTTTTAAATGCACAAAAACTGTGCAGACAAGTTTAATCTATCGTATTGGTCCGAATATAAGACGACCCTGATTATAAGACGACCCCCGTTTTTCAACACTCATATTTAGAAAAAAAAGATTTGCAGACCAGATCTTGTTTTTATAAAGAACTTTTTTTTAAAGAACTTCATTTTATTTGAAAATAACAATATTAAAAACACATTGAATTAAACACCTGTTGTATTAATAATTATAATAATAATTAACATACCGTATTTATCGGTATAGGCCTACGGCACTTTTCAAAACAAAGTGTTTCACAAGGGCGAACTACGTACAGTATGATTCAAAATTAAAATCGATTAACAATCAAACAATATTATCAACATGTTTTTAACATTTTGAAATAACAGAGGAAATACAGGCAATGTTTTTAACTAAACTACCGCTAAACTAAAACTCTCCAAACTTCTCCTCCGATGTCTCCTCTCTATTCCTCACACACACACACACACACACACACACACACACACACACACACACACACACACACACTCTGCCCCGCTGTGTTCGCTCTCACTCTCATCGCTCCCCAATATTAAAAACACATTGAATTAAACACCTGTTATTGTAATAATGATAACAATAATAAACGTTTATAATTTATCGTTATATGCTACGGCACTTTTCAAAATAAAGTTTTTCACAAGGTCAAAATATGTACAGTATGATTCAACATTAAAATCAAGCAATATTATCAACATTTTTAAATAAGAGAGAAAATACAGGCCACATTTTTAACTAAACTAACCTAAAGCTTGCCAAACTTCTCCTCCGATGTCTCCTGTACACACGTCCTCCGCCCCGCTGTGTTCGCTCTCACTGTCATCGCTCCCCTGCTCCTCCCAGAGCACGTCATGTGTGTTGACATTTAAAGGGACAGGTGAACAATTAGAGCTGCGCTCTGAATACTAGACCCCGAATATAAGACGACCCGACTTTTTCGGACCTATTTCGATGGGGAAAAAGGCTGTCTTATATTCGGACCAATACGGTATTTGAAAAACATCTTTGTAGGAGGTCTGGAGGTCTCACCCAGAACATCTTTAGCAACAGAAATGTTTTTCCCTCAATTTGATCAATATTTATGCGGTTTAAGGTTTTCCTCACCACTTTGAAATTACGATTTAGTTAAATGTCCTCTTTTTATGTTCATCAGGAACATTTTCACGCAGTGATGCAGTCATTTGAAAACATGTAGACTTTGAGTTCTTGTGTTTCTGTTCTATTTTAGCCCTGCAGAGTTCCCACAGCTATAGCTTCATACAGGCTCTGCAGCCTTTGTTGTTTTTTGTGACATCACTGGATTAACTTTAGTTTAATTTGTATATAATCAAACATAATACAGGATGTGTTCATTCTGTGACACATGATCAAAGTAAGTTTTACTGACAGAAGAGTTTAATTCATAGAAGGGGCGGGACATTGTTGATTGACAGACAGACAGTCACCATGGTTACTCACTCTCACCTGCCTGCTGCACACAACGTGTAACGTCATTTAGCCTAATCCTTATAAATTCGGTTATCACAACAGGTGAGCTTCGGGTGGAGAAGCTTGATAATAACTTTTAAAAACCGAGAGAGAGCAGAAAACACCGACAGCATCATTTTAAACACCGGGGTTATATCTCCCCTCACTGACTGTCTGTCTGAGCTCTGCTCTGTCTGTCTCTGACTGTTAACGTCTCTCCGGCTCGTTAAATGGTTTCTTGTGTCGCAAACTATGCAGATAAGTTAACTGTTGCTCACGCCGTGACGGTTTTGAAAAATATCAGAACAGTTACATATAACCGGGATGGAGTTGTTTTTGCGGACTTTACTTTTAAGTTTCGTTTTCATTTTCACCACTGTGGAGCAAAAAAAGGGAGGGAGGGAGGGAGATGCGTCTGTGTCGGAGCATAAACTGTAGCATGATAGAATAAACACATTAGCCCGGTTCTATGATCGCTCTGCTTTGGCAGATCGTCAGCAAGTTGAAATCCTTCACGATCTAAGATCGTTATATCGCTCACCACTACTTTGTCTTCATATGAATGAAAATGTGTTCATGTCCCTCCTTTGTTTCCACAGATCTCATCCGACCTTGATGCTTCCCTTCCGGTGAGCTGTTGGTCAACTTCTTCTACGTCACCCCCCGGCAGCGCCCCACATTGAGCCTGCACGGCAGGGAGCCACACCTGAAGTTTCATGGCAGCGGCGTTCTGAGGCTGCCATGGCAGCTGCTGCCGCCGATGCCTCACACCGTATTACCGCACTGACGCCGGAGGAAGAGGGACGACGGACTGCCGCCAAGCTGTTTGGGAGCGCCGCCGCGCTGCCACGGACTGAGAGAGAGCGAGAGAGAGAGAGGGGGAAAGAGAGAGAGAGGGGGAGGGAGGAGGAAGAGAGTGGGAAAGCGAGTGGGAACGAGTGTTTGGTGTGCGGAGGTCTGTTCACCTCACAGGAGAAGCTGCGGCTCCACGCTTTGACTCACACAGGAGAGAAACCCTTCCACTGCTCACAGCCACTCTGCCCCAAGGCCTTCAGCTCCAAGTACAAGCTGTTCAGGTATTACCAGGGTCCACATCATTTAGAGACTTCAGGGTACCACCAGGGTCCACATCATTTATAGACTTCAAGGTACCACCAGGGTCCACATCATTTATAGACTTCAAGGTACCACCAGGGTCCACATCATTTAGAGACTTCAAGGTACCACCAGGGTCCACATCATTTAGAGACTTCAAGGTACCACCAGGGTCCACATCATTTATAGACTTCAAGCTGTTCAGGTACCACCAGGGTCCACATCATTTAGAGACTTCAAGCTGTTCAGGTACCACCAGGGTCCACATCATTTAGAGACTTCAAGGTACCACCAGGGTCCACATCATTTATAGACTTCAAGGTACCACCAGGGTCCACATCATTTAGAGACTTCAAGCTGTTCAGGTACCACCAGGGTCCACATCATTTAGAGACTTCAACGTACCACCAGGGTCCACATCATTTAGAGACTTCAAGCTGTTCAGGTACCACCAGGGTCCACATCATTTATAGACTTCAGGGTACCACCAGGGTCCACATCATTTATAGACTTCAAGGTACCACCAGGGTCCACATCATTTAGAGACTTCAGGGTACCATCAGTTGAGCTTCAAATTGGGCGGCAGTAGCTCAGTCTGTAGGGAATTGGGTTGGGAATCGGAGGGTTGCCGGATCAAGTCCCAGCACAGACCAAGTCCGGAAACTGGCCTGGTAGCTGGAGAGGTGCCAGTTCACTTCCTGAGCACTGCCGAGGTGCCCTTGAGCAAGGCACCGAACCCTCCCACTGCTCAGGAGCGCCCACTGTGGGCAGCCCCCCCCCACTCTGAGACCTCTCCATAGGATCCTGTTTGTGCATGTGTGTGTAGCATGTTCATTAGACAGAGTGTAAAAACAGAATTTCCCCTTGCGGGATCAATAAGGTATAAATTAAAAATCAAAGCCTTTGAGAAACCAGGAAGTGGACTCACATCCTGCAGCTCAGAGTTGAAACTGTTAGATGAACACTAATCTGTGTTATTTGATGCCAGGAGAGACAGAATAACTGTAAGCAGAGCAGTGAGGCAGCATGAGACTGGTTAGCATGTTTGGAATCTGGTGAATGACAGGAAGTGGTTTGTTTCAGGTCCTGTCTGGATCTGTACCCTCTAACAGCTGTTGTTTGTGTCTGTGCAGGCATATGGCCACACACTCTCCACAGAAGACCCACCAGTGCTCGTTCTGTGAGAAGATGTTCCACCGCAAAGACCACCTGAAGAACCACCTGCAGACACATGACCCCAACAAGGAGGCCTTCAAGTGTGACGAGTGTGGGAAGCACTACAACACCAAGCTGGGCTACAAGCGCCATGTGGCCATGCACTCGGCCACGGCCGGAGACCTCACCTGTAAGGTGTGCATGCAGATGTACGAGAGCACGCCGGTTCTCCTGGAGCACCTGAAGAGCCACTCGGGGAAGTCGTCAGGAGGAACCAAGGAGAAGAAACACCCGTGTGACCACTGCGACCGCCGCTTCTATACCAGGAAGGACGTGAGACGCCACATGGTCGTCCACACAGGCAGGAAGGACTTCCTGTGTCAGTACTGTGCCCAGCGCTTCGGCAGGAAGGATCACCTGACGCGCCATGTGAAGAAGAGCCACTCCCAGGAGCTGCTGAAGATCAAGACGGAGCCCCCTGACATGTTGGGTCTGCTGGCATCAGGGTCCCCCCCCCCTGCTCAGTGAAGGAGGAGCTCAGCCCCATGATGTGCGCCATGGGGCCAAACAAAGACCCCATGATGGGCAAACCATTCCCCGGTGGTCCCCCGTTCCCCATGAGCATGTACAACCCTCACCACCTCCAGGCCATGTCTAACTCAGGGGGGGGCCACCCCCACCCGTCCCTGATGCCCCCCTCCCTGTCTGCAGCCATGAACATGGGCTGTCACATGGAGTCCCCTGGACCTTTACACCCACACTCCCTGCACCACCATCACCACCACCATCACCACCACCATCATTCCCCCCCACTGCCCCCCCATCACCAGCCCCAGGCCCCCCAGCAGCAGCACCAGCCCCAGCAGGTCCCCAAGTACCAGCTGGGATCTACCTCATACCTGCTGGACAAGCCCCTCAAAGTGGAGATGGAGAGCTTCCTCATGGATCTGCAGAGCGGCTCGCCAGGCCCCACCCCTTCTGCGGACCCCCACCCTGCTGCCTCACCCCGCAAGGATGGGCTGGAGCCCTCGGCGGGCTTGGCAGATGAGCTGTGTGGGGGCCCCCTCCTGTCCAAGAGCCCTGTGGTGATCGCTGATTCTCTTTGTGCTGCTAACATGGACCTCTCCCACCTGCTGGGCTTCCTGCCCCTCAACCTGCCCCCCTATAGCGCCCCCCATGAGTACAGGAGGCCTGGTGATGGGCTACACCTCATCTGCGACCTCCTCCATTTCTTCCATCTCCTCTTCCTCATCTCTGCATACTGCAGAGCCGCATGCTGCAGCAGCCGCCGTCACCACGGCACCTCTTACCTCTTTGCAACCGCAACCTCAGGAGCAACAGAGCTCCAGCGGGGGTCTGAACCTCGGGCCCCTGCACCCCCTCCCATCAGTGTTCAGCTCCAGCCTCAGCACCACCACACTGCCTCGCTTCCACCAGGCCTTCCAGTGAGAGAGCCTCTGGCTCGGCTCGGCCTGGCTCAGATTGGGGTCTGTGTTTGGTGAATGATGAAATGAACACTTGGAAGCCTTAAAGCGCACAAAAGCTTTTTTTCTGAGCCTTACAGGAAGTTTAACCCTTTAAAGAAAAGGAACACAGTGAGGAAAGAAGCTTTTGTTCTCCTCTAGTTATAACTACGTATTAACCCTTTATCTTATGACCTTTTACTCCCTTTGTCCCCTCATGTTAGTAGTATAGAGGGCAGCATCCGTAGGCCTAAAGGCGTGGTACTGCACACTTTCTAAAGTAATAATATTAAAACATCAACGAGCATTTTAGTGAAGATTATCCGTCTTGTTGTGACCCAGAAAAAAAAGATTTAGTTTGAAGTGGATATTTTGTTTGACTTTATTTTGACTTTCCGATGTCAGAAACATGTCTGGAGTTTAAACCTCAAAGACCCTCGAATCTGTCTCCATCAGTCCCACAGCCCAGTGAACCAATCAAGACCCAGATCAGCTCGAAACTCCGCCCCTCCAGGGCTTCCTGAGCCACGAAAAAAGAACTGACCCCCACCTGAAAGAAAAAAAACACAAAAGAAAAGAGTCCCTTTAAACTGATGTGCTCGTAGAGTCAGGCCAGTTTCACACACACACACACACACACTGAAAGGACAGAGTGTGTGTTGTTCTTTAACGGCTCCTCCAGAGAAGCACTTTTTTTTTAGCACTTCACCTTCAGGAAACTTCTGGTCTCCTTCCTCCTCTTCCTCCTCTCCCTCCTCCTCTTCCCACTCCCCCTCCTCCTCCTCTCCTTCCTCCTCCTCCTCCTCTCTCTTCCTCTCTTCTTCCTCTTCTCCTCCTCCTCCTCTCCTCTTCCTCCTCTCCTTCCTCCTCCTCTTCCTCCTCTCCTTCCTCTCCTCCTCTTCCTCTCCTCCTCTTCCTCCTCTCCTTCCTCTTCCTCCTCCTCTTCCTCTCAGTCTAAAGTCGATATCTTCGACCCTGTAGCTGCTCACTCCTGAAGTCTCCTCGGCGCCCCCTCCTGGTAGAATGAACCCTGACAGATGTGAAACAGTGTGACAGACGAGGACAGATGTGTATTTTAGGTATTAAACATGTTTCTACACTTTCTGTATCTGAAGTATTAGCTTTCCCTTTTCCTGTCGTCACTGTGACGTGGAGAGGACGACCTCTGTCAGCGAGTCATAACCGTGTGTGTGTGTGTGTGTGTGTGTGTGTGTGTGTGTGTGTGTGTGTGTGTGTGTGTGTGTGTGTGTGTGTGTGTGAGAGCTTGTGAGCTGACACGCCGCCTGTCGTCGTGATGCTGTTTGATCCCACGTGTTGAAAACAACTTTAAACGAGACGCAGGCAACGTCACACGATGTCGAGGTGCGGCGTGGACCGTGTGACGTCTGCAACTTCCAACATCGAGCGTCTGGGATTCTGTTTGTGTTGCCGTGGTAACAAACAGGTATCATGACGAGCCGTCTGTGGACGCAGGGGGCGGAGCTCCTGCATCCATCGCCACGCCTCAGATGAGCCCTCGCCACGACCACGTGGCCATGTGTTTAAAAAAAACAAACAAAAAGAGGAAATCAAAAACAAAGTTGCTGCTTTTAGCTACGGTTGCTATGACGACTGTAGACCACTCGAACATTTCAATGACACCCCCCCCCCCCCCCAGCTGCTTGTAGAGTTAAAGGTAAAGCGTCTGAAAGTTTCCGAAAGATTCTGGCGTGACGTTCAGAGTTCGGGGGACTTGTTGACTGACTCGGACTTGTTGTTGCTCGTTTATAGTCGTTTGTTTGTTTGTTTGTTTGTTGTCGTTTGAAATGAATTTATTTTCTGTTTGTTGAAAACAGGACCTCGAGAAACAACACAACACATCACCTCATTTGTATTTGTTTTATTTCTTACTGAACCTGGGGAGAAGAAACGACACTTTGCACATTAGCTTGTTACAAAACCCAGAAGCAGCCCCCCCGACCCCTAACCCCCCCCAGCCCCCCCTGAGGTCATTAATGTGATGATGACCTGTAAATAAAAAAGACAGATCAGAGTTTGATCCTAAATAAATGAGCTGCCAGCACCTTTCTGAGACCTGGACTTCATGAGACCTTCAGGTACTGGTTTCAGAAATCAGATTTCAGAGGGTTTGTAACAGAGAAGCTTCTGGCATGTCCTCCGTTTGTCCTCCCCGGGTTTCTGTGAGCTAATCTGAATTCTAGCACTTTCAACCTTTAAAAAAAAAAGAGTATTTTTTTCTTTTAAATTTCAGCTTCTATGTTCAAATGTTTTTATTTCGTATGATCCTGTTGATGTGTTTAGTTTGACATGTAGACTTTATTAAGCGTTGTGTGTTTCTCCTCTCCTCAAGAGGATCAGTGTTTTTATAGACTCACTAATATCCCTCGAGCCCCTCCTTTAAACAACGCTTTGCTGCGCTCTTCAGTTTAACCAATCAGACTGCAGCCGAGCGCCAAGCAGCAACACGTGTTACAGCCGACCAATGAGACGCTGTCCAAATGACCAGTCACTGAACACATCACGACCTGAACACATGTAGACGAGTCAGTGAACACATCACGACCTGAACACATGTAGACGAGTCAGTGAACACATCACGACCTGAACACATGTAGACAAGTCAGTGAACACATCACGACCTGAACACATCACGACCTGAACACATGTAGACGAGTCAGTGAACACATCACGACCTGAACACATGAATAGACGAGTCAGTGAACACATCACGACCTGAACACATGTATAGACGAGTCAGTGAACACATCACAACCTGAACACATGAATAGACGAGTCAGTGAACACATCACGACCTGAACACATGTATAGACGAGTCAGTGAACACATCACGACCTGAACACATGTATAGACCAGTCAGTGAACACATCACGACCTGAACACATGTATAGACCAGTCACTGAACACATCACGACCTGAACACATGTAGACGAGTCACTGAACACATCACGACCTGAACACATCACGACCTGAACACATGTAGACGAGTCAGTGAACACATCACGACCTGAACACATGAATAGACGAGTCAGTGAACACATCACGACCTGAACACATGTAGACGAGTCAGTGAACACATCACAACCTGAACACATGTAGACGAGTCAGTGAACACATCACAACCTGAACACATGAATAGACGAGTCAGTGAACACATCACGACCTGAACACATGTATAGACGAGTCAGTGAACACATCACGACCTGAACACATGTACAGACGAGTCAGTGAACACATCACGACCTGAACACATGTATAGACGAGTTAGTGAACACATCATGACCGAGTCAGTGAACACATCACGACCTGAACATATGAATAGACGAGTCAGTGAACACATCTCGACCGAGTCAGTGAACACATCACGACCTGAACACATGTATAGACGAGTCAGTGAACACATCACGACCTGAACACATGAATAGACGGGTCAGTCCAACCCCAGAGTAAAGCACTTAAAGCGCTCAGCCAGCCAACGGGCTGATTGTGACCCCGTAGGAGTGACAGCCGCAGACTTTAAAATCTTCTCAGTGAACATAATTAAAAAGTAAACTTTGTCTTGAAAAGGCAACGACTCCTTGATTAGAAAGTAAAAACTTTTCTCTTGTGAATTCTGAAACCACACGACTCCTGGATATGACCTCTGACCTCTGACAGTCTGGTTGTTGCTGCTGGTTGTTGCTCGGCTGCAGCTCCGTTACCTCGACCTCCTCAGGATGCTCTTCTCCTCACCTCCTCGTCTCCTCGTCTCCCGCAGCGGGTGCAGAAGTCAAATTTTGAAGGGAATTGGATCAGATAAATCCTCTTTTTATTTTGCTCTTAGTGAATGTGGAGAGTGTCAGAGTGTCTGCTGCAGACACATCCACATGTAGTTTGATATATTTCTAGATTATTCTAAGTGTTGCATTCCAACCTCTTTGTGTATCTCTTTAGTGACAGCCCGTTTGATCTCGATGGCGTGCTGTTACAGCCTGGAAGAAAGACGTGAACACGACTTGGCATACACTATTTGATAAAGCGTGGCGTTTATCGACTACAGGGAGAGTTTATTAGAGACGAGCTTCAGAGAGAAAGAAGACGCTTCTTTGTTACATATCTCACATGCAATCAGTTGCTGCAATGTAAAAGTGACAGATTTGTATATTGGTTGATCCAAAGAGATGATGAACTATTGTACAGTGTATCATCTTTCATGTGTTATGTTGAAATGATTAAAAGACAAACCAGCGCTTTCCGACTCTGTGTGCGTTTTTTCTTTACTGAAGGACAAAATGACGGTTTGAACCTCAGGAGGAAGTCAGTGTGACAGTTTCCTGTAGAAGGAAACTTCAGGACACGATCTAGAGGAAACAAAGACAAACATCTGATTTGAGCTGCTGCACCGAGAGAAGTGAAAAAACTTCATTTGTTACATTTTAAAAATAAACATACTAAATTATTTTTGATAAAACAAACTCTACAGCCATGCTAACAGTCTGTGCTAATGCTAACATGCGAATAATAACCTGTTATTAATACGGTATGTTAAACATCTTAGCTTAGCATGCTAACAGGAGCTAGCTTGCTGTTAAAGCAGAAGCTGAGGATTATGGGAATGTTGAACAGGCAGAAACCTGGACCAGAACCAGACTCATGATGAACAGGCAGAAACCTGGACCAGAACCAGACTCATGTAGAACAGACAGAAACCTGGACCAGAACCAGACTCACTGTAAAGTTAGACACTCTATGGGGACTGACTCACTGCAGGAGAGACTCTAGTGGACACTGGAGGAACTGCAGTTACTGTCATTTCAGAGTTAAATTCCTTTGCTAGCTCAGTGTGGTCTACGGCTAATATCTGCTTTGTGAGGCTGAACAACGGTGCTTTGCGTTCAGTGTTCTACATCATCATCATCGGGTTCTGTTATCAGTAAAGTTCCTCCAGAGAATTTAAATAAATTAAGTTTGTTCTTACGGTCTGAAGTTGAATGTGTCCTGCAAAGAAACAAAGTGGAGGCTGGTTTTCAAATTGAACTCAGCACTTTATTATTTTGTACATTTTGTAATCGGACGTTCTGTAAAAGAAACAAAAAGAGATAAGTAACAGAAATCAGTTCCTTTGAAAGTCATCATGAGCGTCATGCTTTTGGCTAAAACGAGGATTCATTACAGAGCGCCACAAACAGCGAAACGCAACAAATACAAAGCTGTCGTCTTTATTTACAACGTAATCTCTCTCACACACGTATGACCAGGGCGTCTTAGACTGTAAAAATCCTCTCAGCAGCAGAAGCAGATCTGAACGTCTAAATCAGTGATGTGAGTTCACTCGTGTGTCTCGAGACAGTGGCGGAGGGAACTTGAAGGACTCCTCGAGCACCTGGCTCAGGTTTTGGACTGATGACAGACAGGAAGAGGAACAGGAAGTTTGGCCCCTGCAGAATCGGGGCTGATCCAGTGACTGCCCCCCTTTCTCTATAGCCCTGCAGTCACACCTCGGCTCAGTGCAAAGGAGAACACAAATGTACCCGTTTGGCTCTTTAACTGAGGAACAAGTTTCTGGGTTTCGATGGCGTTCCAGAGCTGGATGTAAATCTGTCACAGCAGCAGAGAACCACATTGTTAATCAGAGAAGCTTAAACTATCGTTGACTTCTTTTTGACACCCTTAATTATGTTAAAATAATAAAACATTATCCTCATCCCACGTTCAGAAACCTCTCCCATCATTTTAAACCAATCACCAACCACATGTAACCTTTGAGCAGCTTAGCAAGAGGCTAGCTAAGCTAAGCAGCGGGTGGTTCAGATGACGTCCTCTCTTCTGATTAGAGGTAAGAAATCTGATGCATCTGAAATAACGATGACGTCATCGTTTGATCAATGTTTAGTTTGTTTTGATTTCAGCTCCAACTCTTTAGATTTATTAGCTACAAACACTTCATCAGGTCAGCTGCAGATCAAAGTAAACATACAATGATAAATATGTAAGAGAACAACATGAGATCCACCTGCACAGGTAGAAACACACGCAGGTGATCGTCTGTCACAGGCCGGTCTTCACACCTTAACAACCCGTCTGTCTGCAGAGGTCCAGGCTGCAGCGCTGCTAAGGCCACGCCCACTTAAGCACATCAGTGTTCCAGTCTTTCTTCTTCATGGGTCAGTGTCTTCCTCACCAGGAAACAGGAGTAAACAATCATAGTACATTTAATAGATCTGTGTCTTTGATACAATGCAGAACATCCCATAATAATTCCCATCAGTTCAACACAACAACATGAACACCACAGTAAGACTCGGCCTGATCTCTGTCCCGACACCAGAGAGACGTAAGAAAGGACAGAGGAGGAGACGAGGAGGACAGAAAAACAACCTGATAAATTAAAGAGAAATGTGCAGAAAAACATGAGAACAAGCTTTGGCCCGCTGTGCAGGAGAAACAGTCCCGTCAGAGGAAGGGGGGGGCGGTCCTCTGGGTCTCTGTCATGGAGGGAGGAGGGGGGAGACAGAAGCCAGGGGGGAGGATGGGGAGACAAACAGCTGCTTTAGCTCCTCGATGAGGCCAGCAGGGGGCGCTGTGACTCCCCGTTCCCTCCACACACAAGTCAGTGCTCGTAGGACACGAAGAATAAAAAATATGTACATTAAAAAACTGAAGGTGACAAAAGTAAAGAAACCAGGAGAGGAGCAACCACGGCGCCCACTCAGTCGATCTTTACGGCGGCGTATATCTTCCTGATGAACATGTAGGCGGCGTAGAAGCCAATCGTTCCCGTCAGCAGCCAGAAGGACAGAACCATGAGGGCGGTGTAACCGAAGTAGAGCAGCGAGGGTATGAACTCCACGATGTCGAGCTGAGGAGAAAGAAAAAGAGTCAGACTCTACAGCTGAGGAGAAAGAAGAAAGAGTCAGACTCTACAGCGGAGGAGGAACAGAAAGAGGAGGAGTCAGACTCTACAGTGGAGGAGGAACAGAAAGAGGAGGAGTCAGACTCTACAGCGGAGGAGGAAGAAAAAAAGAAGAGAGAACGAGGAGAATTTTAAAAATATTTTTTTTGCTGGAGAACCTGAAGGTTACAAAAATAAACGTTTACCTTGTTGACAAAGTAGAAAACTGCATAAATGAGGACGTAGAACGCCGAGCCTCCTGAGACCAGGAACGTCCTCCACCACCACCGATAGTCCTGAGAGAGGGGGGGGGGGGGGGGGGAGAGAGAGATATGAACACTGATGGGTACACACCCACTCATCACCTTTAATGTGTTTAACACGACAGACATGCAGCACTGAGAACACACGAGCAGCTCATTCACTCTGCTGAGTCATCACAAAGACACACAATCTCTGTACACACACACCTGGTGTACACTCACCTCTGCACAGAGCTGGAAGTAAACCATCACGATGCTGATCTGAGAGCAGGACACCACCAAGATGATGAACACCAGGAACAGGAAGCCAAACAGGTAATAGAACTGATTCTCCCAGATGGCCTGCAGGGGGCAACACACACACACACACACACACACACACACACACACAATAATCAGACAGGTGTACAGCGTTTCATGCACAAAGTAATGGTGCTTGATGCGAAAACACAGCACACACACACGTTCAGAACGCAGTCTTGTACTCACACTGAAGATGAAGAAGAGCTCGATGAACATGGCTCCAAACGGCAGAATCCCGGCCATCAGGATCCTGCAGGACAAGAAACGTTTGCTGGTCAGACCTCTGAAGGTTAAAACCTTTGAAGAGCAGCATGTTGACCGTGGTTAAAACTCACCCTACAAACTTGTTCATGTACCAACGCTGCTCGGGAACCTGTCGGGGGATCTGGTTGGTGCGGACCGGGTTATCATAGGGCTGCTTACGGAAACCAAAGTAATACCCCAGGTAGACCAGGGGCATGGAGATCCCGAACCACATACAGAGCAGGGCCAGCATGGTGGTGAAGGGGACCTGTGGGACAAGGGGGAGAAGACTGTGGACAGGTTCTTTGTTTCTATTTGAAATGAGCAGGTGGATACTCACTGCTCCAGACGAGTGTTCTCCCCAGATGAAACAGTTGAGGATGAAGCAGATCCCAAAGACCACGGCAGGATACAGAGTGGCTGTCTGCAGGGAGACACAGGAACACGCTCAAAAACAGAGAGGTGCAACTTTCACATTGTTTATAGAAAGACTCATTTAGGTTACTTACACAGAAAGCTCCTTTCCTCCACCGGTGACCTTTCAGTGTTCGATACAGTCTGCCTGCAAAATATCCACCAAACACCCTGCAGGACACATCAGGAGACACATTCGGAGGCACATTAGGAGACGTAAGGACACATCAGGAGGGTTCATATAAATAACATTTATGTGTATATCAAGAAACATTAAAGGGGAAAACTTCTTCAGTGTTTGTGAACATATATTTGGGTAACCTGAGTGTCTACTGACCCACAACATGTGAAATAAACGCATCCAGTCCTTTGTTTGTGGTCTGCATAAGTCTTACAACACAGAGAAAAATGCTCTGTTTCTAATGTGCTCTCCTTGTGATGTCACAGTGGGATTCTGGTAAAAAGAAAAATCCCCTCCCCTCCCCTGGTATCTCCACCCATGGACTCCACTCCCAGACTAGAACAAAACTTTAGTGCAAGTCGGCTATTTTTATTCTCGCTACAGAGGAGTGATGTCTAGCGGGAAAACTCAGCGGGGGTCATTACATTTAAAGAGACACACACACCAAAACAGAGTGTTTGGAGAGAGCTGGTTTATACAGGGTCACAAACCTCCTCGAGTGCTTGATTCATGTTGTATTTTGACCAAAGCACAGCACAGATGTTTCATTTAGACCACAGGGGACTGTTTGAAAAGGTGGAGGAGGGGGATAATATGTCCTCTTTAAGGTTTATTGGACTGTTGTGTTACATCTAGAGAATCAAAGTGTTACCCCATGAACATGAAGAGGAAGCAGGCTGTGGTCATCAGGGCTCCTCTGCTGGACGGCGACAACATGCCCAACATGGCAACAACTGTTACGCACAAACAAACGTGTTGTTAGATTTCCTCCAATAACATCGATGTTCTATGTCATATTAAATCAATAACGTATACATGAAAAGGAATCATTCAACACAAAGAAGGACTCAGATTTATTTTATTCTCATTGAGGAAATCGAATTCACGATTTTTTGTTTGTAAGCTAAAATCAAGCATGTCGATGTTTAGCTTAGCATAAAGACTGGAACCAGGTGGAAATGGTTAGCCTAGCTTCTCAAACGGATTATTCTTCAAGTCATTTTTAATTAGTTTCATCAATTCAGGAACAAAGATGCACCCCCCACACGGCCGTTTTGGACGCCCCTCGGTTTGCCAGATATGAGAGCAGTTATCAGGTCAAAGCAACAGGTGTTGCCGTGATGGAAGCGGGCAAGAGAAGTGGTTCAGATAGAAGTGATTGTACCCGACCTAAAAAGCCTCCAAGAAAATGGAGAGAGGTTAGAACGCAGAAAGGTTTACAGACCCATGCAGAGCTGGATAAACACTGACGCTTCAGTGTCCACCACATGGCAACCTGTGTGAGCAACGACTCTAGAGAGGGGGTGGGAGGGGGCTCTCTCCACACCTTTAATGACACTGAAGATCTGATGACATCACCGAGGCTGTCTGAATTCATTCATCTAAAATCCTGACTGAATCGTCAAAAGGAACTGAATAAATGTGTGTGCATGTTGGTACACGTTCAGAGGAAGCGCGTCTTCACTTCACTGTTCATCACAGACTGACCTCCTTTCTATTCGTCGGTTACCGTGTCACAAGGACGACATTCCTCTGGACAGATACGAGGCTGATAAAACACTCACAGATGACGATGAGGATCATGCAGAACAGCTGGATCCCCGAGCCCAGCAGAGAGCTGAGGATCATGGGATACTGCGGCGGCCTGAACACGTCCCCGTGGACGTTCTTCCAGCCTGACTCCTCCATGGTGTCCTCCTGTTGAAGAGAGAAGTGATGAACTGTGTGTTTGTCACACTGAAACGAGGGAACAAACGGTTTCCCTTACGATGTCGTCCTCTCTGTTGTAGTTAGCGATGTCCTTCCTCAGAGTCCTGATGATGATCATACTGAGGATCCCTGAGAGACACAAACCAACAACATCAAACACGTCTTCACCTGCCCTTTTGTTTAGAATGGCGCTGTTGATGTCACAGCGCTCTTTTTCAAAATATAACAATATTCCCCGAATTGTGTCGTGTAACCACATCGTCCTCAGGAGATGACACCATACCAGACAGGAAGAAGACGACGACCACAGAGTTGACGATGGAGAACCAGTGGATCTGGACGTCGCTCATGGTCAGGTAGGTGTCCCACCGAGACGCCCACTTCACCTCGCTCTCCTGCGACCAACAGAAGAGAGATCAGGGACTCCTCCCTCGGGTCGACACAACACCTGACTGGTTACCACGGCAACAAAAACACAAGTCCTAGCTACACCATATCAACAATTTCTATTCTGGAATCTCAGAATATTTCCTGCACGATGTTTGGACAGGTCAGTCAGCTGACTGATGACGGGGGTCACTGACCTCCCAGTGCACCGAGTACGTGAAGAGGACCTCGTTCTCTTTCGCCGGGTCGATCTCCTGAGGGGCGGAGCCACTGGCCTCAGGCAACGTGCAAGTCTTTTCATTTTCCACAGCCTTCAGATCTGAGAAGAAAAACACATGATCAGGGTTCCCACTCTTTTCCAGACATCATTTTCAGCAATGATGGACCTGGTATGACAGTCCGTGATCGTGAAGTCTTTAACAAAGCTAATCATACCCACTGTGTGCTACCGCTTCAAAGGTTAAACATTTAATATCATGTTATGGTCCATTTTTTACCCTTAATGCAGTATTGTATTTGAAGAAACAATGCTAACAAAGCAAAAGGACCGTTAGCCAGTATTCGGCCCGTGTTTGACTCACACATCATTCATTGTGCATATGAACACATTTTTTCACACGAGACACATTTATCTTTCCCGATCTGCAGTTTAAAAACATTGCCAATTGGCTTTTATCAAACGTATTTGTTTTTCTTTGCCAACCTACCGTCTACTTTGACACTCTGAGGAATGACCTCAAAGCGCACCACCCGGTAGTTGTGGACCTCGCCCTCCTCTAGTTTCTCTCTGTGAAAGTAGATGATGAAGGACAGGTGGTTGTGCAGGTAAAACTGAGAGAGAGAGAGTGAGAGAGAGAGAGAGAGAGAGAGAGAAAAGAGAGCTGTTTGATATCACATCGCTGTACGGACACCTCCATTAATCAGACCGGGCGTCAAAACAGAATCTACTCCGACGGTTCTAACACGCACCTTGTTGTTGTCGAAGAAGCCAAGTCTGTATCCGTGTTCAAACTGGATATCTTTCACCACGTCCTTCTTCTGCTCCTCCTCCCCGCCTGCCTCTCTGTTTGGATAAAACTCCAACCTGGTGGCTACGGGAAGGTTGTCTGCGATTCTGCGACACAGGGACAAAAAACACTTAATCACAGAGACTTTTCTTTACTCCTCAGTCCTAACAGAAAACACCTTCCATTAAGTTACACTTGGTTGTTGTCATGGCAACAGGTCAGTATTAGGGCGTTCACTCTCTCACTAAACCTCCTGAAGTTTATCACGCTGAGCGTCATGTGATCACACAAACAGCTGAATGTTTCTCTCTTCCCCCAGAGTTTCTCCTCTAGCCTCCTCGTATTTATTCTGCAGAAAGTCAGAGTGAGCTGATGAGAGAACGCAGCAGAATATAATCAGGAGAATTCATCTGGAGCCAGTGGTGACCTTTATTCCCTGTGATCGCTGCACGACCATAGACTGTCTGCATGCCACCTCTACCATCTCCGTGCTCTAATGAACCTGCTGCTGCATGTTAGGTTACCCCCCCCCCCTCCCCCGAATGGATGCTCACAGATGGATGTAATACTCCTCCTGGATCCGCTCAGCCATCAGCCGGCTCTCCTCCACGCTCAGCTTCTTCTTGTCACACACCAGCTCACACTTCTTGTCCTTGTTCATCTCCACGTTGTAGCGAGTGTTCACGATTCGATCGCCACGTAACACTTCTCCTACAAAGACAAATAAAACCCTTCATGAAGATTTAAGGGAACATAGAAGAGATGTAAGGAGAGAATGACACGTCAGCAGCACGCCACTCACCCAGGTTCTCTCCTTTGTAGAAGACAGAGTCTGGCTTACAGAAAGGCAGCGAGTAGTATTCATAAGGGAGCTGCGTGCGGGAGCTGGTCAGCTTCACGGCCTGAAACACAAAGTCTTTGTTTGGTTGAACTGAAACTTGCAAATTAGTCTGAAAAAAATCTTGTGATATTTTTTCCACACCGCCCACCTCTACTAGGCCATATTTATAAATATAAATATAAAGGCCTATTTATTTATTTACTGAATGTAGTTTTAAGTATTTAGTTAGTAAATTTAGTTATAAGAGTTGTTAACATATTCTGAAAGCTGGTCCATCATTTGTTCGTAGTGACTGAGGCTCAGCGAAGAGGAAGAAGAGGAAACTGATAAGGAAAGTTAAGTTTACACTTAGATTCTCTCTCACTCTTATGATTTCAGAAGTTGTGTTTGATTGTCACAGATATGATTCAGAAGGAGAGACAGACTCTGACTGGACCAACAGACTGACCTCTTACCTTAATATCTACTGTGTCGCCCTCATGGAAATCCCGGGGAGCGACTCCGGGAACGTAGAAAAGCCGGACGCCAGGCAACAAGGACAGCAGCAGCAGCGCCCACCACGTCTCCTGAAGCACACAAACACATCACGTCAGGACGCCAGGGTGACCTCGGGATGGGACAGTTAGAGACTAAGCCCAGACCGTTGGTCCCACACCAACAGCTCGGGGCGTGTATCATTCAGTTCATTTGAAACGGGCTATGAGGTAGAAAATACAAATTCTACTTTCTGTTAAACTGACGCATATAATGTATTGAGGTGAGGGGTTGTAGTGCACAGCTGCCGCCAGCAGGGGTCAGGTATGTAGACCCCTGTTGCGGTTGCCACTATGACTGCACTGTGAAAGGGAGGTCGAGACGGAGCAGATAGCCCTGGGACGGTAAACGGGCCACGCTAACATCAGAGTGGAGGAAGACGATGCTCAGTTCAGACCGTGTGTGTGGAGCTCCAGCTGTGCTGACACACGCTGACACACAATGTGACCTCACAGACTGGGACGCCAATATTACGCCGTCACAGAATCAATATGAAGGTACAAAGATGCGTTTATAACAGCGCTTTAGTGACATAAGCAGTCTAAAAAGGGCGACTGACATTAAAGACATCGACTTAGGGTCATAATCCAACATTTTATTAAATAATATAAAGAATAAAGTATCAGGTATTTAAACATCATCGTTTTCATGGTGCTAGCAGAGGAAGCTCCTCCTCCACACACGCCGCCGCCTGTTGACTTTGAGGGAGCGGCCTCTGGGTGATTCCACCTGAGCAGCTTCATGGCACAGAGCCAGACATGACATCCTCACAGTCCTTCATGTCACAGTCCTCCATGTATATATCCCAGGATGCATTGCAGCTGCAGCCTACGGGTCACCCTGCTGCATGAACACAGATCCTAGAAGGGGCGCTGATCCTGGAAGGGGCGCTTGTCCTGGAAATCTGCTTTATTTGGTTTTTAATATGAAATCAGGACCGTGACATTAGTCTGCACAGTGAGTGATCGAAGCAGGACAGCAGCTCTCTCTCTAACACACTATTTACACACCAGGGCCAAAATCAATCAATCTTTATTAGGGTCAACTCATGACAAGTGTTATCTTGAGACACTTTACAAAAAGCAGGTAAAAGACCTTACTTATTGTTATGTTACAAAGACTACATTAAATTGATAGGGACATGAAAAGGTCCTGAGATATCCATCCCTGATCACTGCTGAATGATGGATGGTCTGAGATAAACTTAAAAGTGTTTAAGTCTGTGTGGACAAAGGAGATCTTCTACTCTACTGGCAGGTCTTCCTACATGCACTATCAAACCTCTGCAGATGATACAAAATGCAGCAGCACGACTGGTCTTCAACCTTCCTAAAAGAGCACATGTCACTCCGCTGTTCATCTCCTTACACTGGCTCCCAGTTACTGCTCGCATCAAATTTAAAACTCTGCTGCTCGCTTACAACACAGACACAAAAACGTCTCCTCCTTACTTTAACTCTCTCATCCAGGTCTACACTCCCTCCCGCCCACTACGCTCTGCCAATGAAACGTGTCTGATCCAACCTTCACAACAGGGTCCTAAGTCTCTGACTAGACTCTTCTCCTCTGTCGCCCCCCGGTGGTGGAGTGAACATCCGAACTCCATTTGATCTGCAGAGTCCCTCTGCACCTTTAAGAAAAAGCTAAAGACCCAGCTCTTTCATGAATACTTACTAACTTAATGATGATGGTCTCCATATTATTGATGATGATGATGGTTTTTGTTTGATAACGACGACTTATAAGATGGTTTCTATACTGATTAGAGCTCTCAAGAACTGCCGTCAATGTTGTGCTTTGCCTCTGGTCACTTCTGTCAGCACCTCTGGTCACTTCCTGTCAGCACCTCTGGTCACTTCCTGTCAGCACCTGTGTGTCCAATCGGACTCAAAGCTGATCGTTTGCTTTTACTGACATTGTTTCCTTTTTTCTCTCTCCTTGCTTGTGTTGTACTTACTCTCTGATGTAGGTCGCTTTGGATAAAAGCGTCTGATAAGTGAATTGTAGAATCCTGTGACACGTTCATACAACAGAGAGATTTAAAGTGATGAACCTCTCAGAGTTTAATGATTAAATATGAAGGATTGTTGAGTCTATTAAAGCTTAAGAGTGATGCCACTGGGAGTTATTATAGGAGAAGTTAGAAACATGTCATCATGCTACTATTAAAATCAGTATGAATCAGAAATCATTAGTGATAATAATAACGATGATGACGTCATTTTAACACCTTTTCTTGGTTATTACCTCACAGGAAGTGCTGCTCTCTCAGAGATGCTAGCTGCTAACGTTAGCTCGCTGGTTCCGGTCTGATAATTGGACAGTTAACTGTTTAAACTGTCAGTTCGGCTTCGTATGAAACACAACATTTAGAAATATGATTAATAAATATAAATGTATGGACATAAAGTCTCCTGTCTACAGTGACGCTAACGGACGGCAGCTAGCTCACAGTCGTTATTTAGCCAAACCAGCTTCAGCTAACCGAGCTAAATCTGAACCGGGTTAACTTTAAGATACCGCTGACCCGGGTTAACTTTAAGGTAATGTGAGTGCACCGACACAGACCTGTGCTCTGTATCGCTTTCATCTCTCTGTCTGAGCTTATTTAAACTGTCAGTGCGACAGATGTGGACTTAGAAGAAAAAGAGTTCGCGTTTTACTCACCATGTCCGCAGCCGCCATTTTGGATACGTGTCATTATGCCAACTCCTCAGTAAGGAAAGTCGCTATTGGCTGTCCTAAAAGTCGCCAAATGACGTCATCGCCTAATTTGCATAATTGACAATTTGCCAAATATGAACTACAATTTTTTTTTTCTGGTTTCATGACTTTATTGCTTGAGACCCACTTTACATAGACAAATTGTGCCCTGTATTGTTAAATGTTAGAATATCAAATTTAATCAAAAGACTGTGCGAGTCAAATGCAGTGTTTTATTTTTGTGTGAAAATTAAGAAGCATTTACATGTAGCTCTGTAAGCCAGGGCGGTAACAGCAGCGGCTTCGTTGCAGTCTGGACACAGAGTGGTGAGGGTCTCCTCTCTGCTCTGACTGACAGCCTGTGAGGGCTTTTGGAAGGGGGGGGGGGTGCTCACGAGGACAGTACGTGCTTTCACGTCAGTTTCTGACATCAAAACAGTCTCCAATAACACCAGAAAAAGTCGCTAGTAGCTTTTGACAAAAAAAGTCGAAAGAAAGTCGCCAAGTTGGCAACACTGATTAGTGACGTTACGGAAGTACAGCGGTGTGCAGATCACCTGTGTTATGGTTTAAACAGTGACCGTGTTATCTGGAGACTTCCGCCAAATGCAACGAAAGTCTGCCCTTTGCTGCTTTTATATATTTACCAGCTTTCTTTTATTTCCCCCCCTTTTTTGTCTTCATACTGTTTTTATTACAGAAATCCACTGTCCTATAAAAATAAAGGCATAGAAAACCCATATAAATTAAAAATCCTCCCCTTTTTCCGAGCACTTTTCAGTGTTATAG